TCTTGGGCTTGCACTACCCCCATGTGACAAGGACAAGGATGCAGGGTACGGGTCCCATAGAGCTCTGTGCACTGCTGGAGAAGGCAATGGAAGTGAAGTAAATGGAAGCAATGCCTCTGCACCTGTGGATCCTGATTCTGCAGATGGATAAGTTGTCTTTTCACTCAAGCAGTCACAACTAATCTTAATGCTTCTTAGCTTACAGCACTGTGTGGAGAGAGTTTATGGAAAATATACAGTGTAATTTCTGAACTCTGTCACTGTATCGAACTCACAAGGAAAACGCATGAGAAACATGGATTTGCTGTGTAGCACAGAAGAGAATCTTAAGCGAGATCTATGATTTTTCCAAAACACTTACTTTTATAACACAGTTTGTACTTGCTTGTTTAGAGAAATTAGGCAATAAACGTAGGCCAGTGGGGAAAATGAAAATCTCCCCAAATTCAACTAGGCAGGGATAACAACTGTTAGCAAGTTGATGTCCTTCAATTTCTATCTCTCTGCCTCCTGAATCTGGGCAGGCTGGTGATTGCTTCAACCTATGGAGCAGGTGGAAGGGAGGCTCTGTGACTTCTGAGGCTAGCCATAAAAACCATGCAGCACCTGCCTTTCTCATTGGAACACTTGCTCTCAGAGCCCACCACAGAAGGGTCTGACTGCTCTGAGGCTGCCATGCTGTTCGGATGCCCCTGCTCCGCGTTGAGGTCACATGCAGGCACTCTGGTTAACAACGCCAGCTGAGTTGTCGCAGCCTGAGTCCCAGACATGCCAGTGAGGAAACCTTCAGATTTTTCCAGCCCCAAGCCATTTGACTCACACACTGCCGATCAGTTCCTCTCAGCTGGGGTTCCAGACATCAATGGGCAGAGATAAGGCACCCCTGCTGTGTCTTGTCCAAATTCCTGACCCACAGAATCCGTGAGCCTGAGAAAATGGATGTGGTTTTCTGCCGCTAAGCCTCAGGGTGGTTCATTACACAGTTACAGATAATGGGAACAGCAGCACTGCAGTTCTCCTTCTCAGAGACGGCAACCCTTACCAGCTCCTTGTGTGTTCTATTAAGGAAGTTTATGAATGCGCGATCACATATTTTCCCTCTTAGTACTTTTTTAAAACAATTGGTTGCATACCAAGCACATTCTGGACTTTGGCTTTTGTTTTATTTAACAACGTATCTTGAAGATTGCTCTTCAGCTGTACATATAGAATCTCTTCATGTTTTCATAGCTGCATAATATTATTACCATAATTTGAGTAACGAGCCCTATATTCACGGGCACTTAGATTATTTTCAGTCCTTCAATTGTATACACAGGCTGTGATTACTGGGGTGGCACCTGTAATTTTGGTGACATTGACAAGTTGCTCTCCATGGAAGTTATTTTGATTTTCTCTTCTAACAAAAATGCCCGAGAGTATCAGTTTCTCCACAAATACCGTGTTTTGTTTTAAATCTCTATCAGACAAGTTTATGGGAATGATGTATTCCTATAGTTTTGTTTTGTTATTTTATTGTTTATTTTGAGGACGAACAGCCATCTGCATTTCTTTTTTGATGAACACTTAAATTCTTAATCCATCTTGAGTTAATCTCTGCATATGGTGAAAGGTAAGGGTCCAGTTTAATTCTTCCGCATGGCTCAGCAGCTTCTCCACACCATTTATTGAACAGGAGTCCTTTTCCCATTGCTTATTTTTTGTTGAGTTTCTAAAAATCAGATGGCTACAGGTGTGCAGCTTTATTTCTGTGTCATTTCTTCTTTTCTGTTGGTCTAGGTGTCTGTTTTTGTACCCGTACTATGCTGTTTTGGTTACCGTAGCCTTTTAGTATAGTTTGAAGTTGGGTAAAGTGCCTCTGGCTTTGTTCTTTTCACTTAGGACTGCTTTGTCTATTCAGGCCCTTTATTGGTTCCAAATGAATTTTAGCATAGTGTTTCTAATTCTGTGAAAAAGGACAGTGGGATGCTCACTTTGGCAACACATATGCAAACAATGACACTGGTAGTTTGATGGGAATAGCATTGAATCTGAAGACTGGTTTGGGAAGTCTGTTTTAATGATATTCATTCTTCCAATCCATGGGCATGGATTGTTCCATTGTGTCATCTATGATTTCTTTCAGCAGTGTTTCATAGTTCTCCTTGTAGAGATCTTTCATCTCCTTGGTTAAATGTATTCCTAGGTATTTTATTCTTTTGTGGCTATTGTAAATGGGATTGCATTCCTGATTTGGCTCTCAGCATGAACATTTTCAGTGTACAAAAATGCTGCTGATTTTCGTGCATCGATTTTGTATCTTGAAACCTTGCCGAAGTCATTTATCAGTTCTAGGAGCCTTTTGGCAGCGTCTTTGGAATTTTCTAGGTATAGAGTTATATCATCAGCAAAGAGAGATAAATTGACTTTTTCTTTTCCTATTTGGATATCTTTTCTTTCTTTCTCTTACCTGATTGCTCTGCAAGAACTTCCTGATGTTTCTATCCCTTGCCCCCTTTTCTACTGGACGATGGTCTTTTGACCTTATATGTAGTAAGTAAATATAAAGTAATTATATAGTGAAATATAGTAAAAATATATAGTAAAAAATATTAGCCCTGGACTATAATGCAAGTGAAAAAGATCTTATATTAGTTTTATTTTTCTTTTTTGAATACTTTTTATTTTCAAAGAATTAAAAAAAAATTTATGTTGTCAAATTGCTCAATCTTTTCCTTTAGGGTTTCTGAATTTTATGGGATTCATGGTGTGTCAGGTAGGTTTCCAAGAATCACACATCTGCAAGAAACTGAAACTCTAAACACAGCGACCCAAGTAAATAGGATTTTACTTTTTAAATTCCAGGAATAGGTGGTTGCTAGCATTGGTTCAGCAACGTCAGGGCTAATGTCTCTTATTCTACTCTCTTGGCCTCTCTTATCTGATCCCAAGATGATTTCTACAGAACTAATGTTTCAAGGGAGATGGAGCACCACCACATCTGTCCATTTTTATTGAGAAAGCAAATACTTTCCCATCAGATTTTAACTAACGTTTTATTGACCCAAACCAAGCCACACAGACACTATAGTTGCAAGGGAGCGTGGGAAAGTAGAGAAGTTGACTGCTGGTATGATGCATCTTTGGGGTTAGGCTTATACTCACCCTGAACAGAGCTGGGGTTCTGTTTCTCTGGAAAGAAGAGGAAAGTGGGCAATTGGCATAATGAACAGACCACTCACAGTGTCTGGGACATTAGAAAGAGTTTTTCCCTCTACAAGATTATAAAAACAATTTTCCATGTTTTCTTCTAATATTTTTATGGTTAATTTTCACATTTTAATCTTTGACGCACTTGGATTTTATTTTAAGTGTGTGGATCCAAGTTTTTCCTTAGATGAGACCCACTTGTCTTAACACTATTTATTGAGTGATACATCTTGTCTACACTGATTTAAAATTCCACCTGTATCTTAAAAAAATTCCTGTATGGATTAAGTAATTTTCTTGATATCCTAGTCTGTTCTGTTGACATCTTTATGAATGAGTGCCACACTGTTTTAATTAGCTAAATTTTAGTAGAATAGACTTCTTTCACTATCTTCTCCCCAGAATTCTCCAGAGAATTCTTGCATATTTATTCTTCAAGTGAACTTTAGAATAATTTTGTGTTGTTCCAAATAATATTTAACATTTTATGAGGATGACATGCCTTTTAGATTAATTTAGGGACCATTACCATCTTTATGATGTTGATCCTTCCTATCTGGGAACACATATTATTTTTCATTTGCTAAAGATTATTTTTGGAGGGGTGGTCCCTCAGTAGCATTTTACAATTCTCTTGTATGTATTTTTTCAGTTACTCAGTGCTTTTTCTTTTGTTACTATTATAACTGGGATCTTTCCATTCTTTATAAATTCTAAACAGATGTTATTTGTACATATAAATACTTGAATTTTCAATATTAATTTTGTATCTAGACACCTTCAATTTCTTTCTTTGTTTTTTTGCATTTCATTATTTATTTAGATGTTTAAGCTCTTGCACTAAGTTTTTACAAGCTGGTGAACACCGACAAATTATTTCTCCCACAGAACTATAACCACACATCCCCTGACAGTATAAATGCATGGTTGAACTAACATTAATACACATCACCATTTTATCAGTGACATAATGAAACAAATTATCAAGTATCCAGTTATTAAGTTACACAGCTCAAAAGGCATATAAAATATTAGATGTCTGCTCAGTTCATTAGCAGAAACCCACTTCTTTTTTTTGCAAGAGAGGTTGGGAAGGAAAAAAAAAACAATCACACTTTCAAACAAAAATAAGTTGGTAAACAACTTCTGATAACTATGGAAAAAAATTACAAGAATTTCAGGAAGTTTATGATTACAATAGCAAAACATCTCTATCTTTTAAAAAATATTTTACTAAAGAGCATATTCTACATGTTCTGCACAAGACAAGGGCAACATTTTGCTAAAAATAATTAACAGCCCCCTCTCATTCTTTTCTCAGGTCCTCCCTGCTAAATTGCACCTCAGAATGCAAACATTAAATCAACCGTAAGGCTTTTAATTAAATTAACTGTAAGCCACCGTGTCTGTGTCCAGCCATCAAATGTTTTCCAAGCTCTTACTGTGTCCAGGCACCACCCCATGTGATGGGGATGCAGCCTAGCCTTTGAGCACAGCCTTTCCTCAGGGCCTTTGCACATGCTGTGGTTCACCCACTCCTTGCCAGCTGGCCTCTTCTTACCTTTCTGGTCTCTGCTTCAATATCACTTCTGCCAGTAATTATTATTACTATTATTTATGAGATAGAATCTCGCTCTGTCTCCCAGGCTGGAAAAAAAAAAAAATGTCTGAAGACATTGAAGACGTGCTTCTGTACAATGTAGATTCAAAATTGAGGTTTTTTGTTTTGTTTTGTCTTGTTTTTACAAAGTGAGATTTATATAAACGCATTAAATAATCACTGTAAGACTTGGTAGAAAAAAAAATCAATGGTTAAGCAAACCTGATGTATACTGGTGTGAATGTGGGAGATGTAAACATAAAGTGAGCAGGCAAATAGCCATTTAGGCCCTACTTTCAATGTCTGCAATGACTGAAGGAATAAACCACACAAGGTCTAGAGTGTTCATAGTTCCTGGGACTTTAGTTCTGTATGGTACCAAAAATATACAAGTATTGTGCTGCGTATTCCGGCACCTAAATCTTCCTACATTTCTTATGTATTCATAAGATTCTGGCATGGGAATAGATTGAAACAAGTTATGACTCAATATTACATGATTTGGGGAAAGGTCATTGGTACGAATGACAAACACATTTTACATGTTGACAACAAGAATCTTTTGCCAAGTGTCCAAGTAGGTTGACTGTAACTCAAACACAGAAGTTGCCAGATCTGTCTAGCTTGTGGCCCGGTAAAAACGCCCTTCAGTACTCCTATGGCAGCTTCATTAGACTTGCTAAGCCAACATGTTAGCTAATATGTATAACAAATTAGGTCCTATCTCAAGTTCCACTTCCAAGAGCATTAGGCACCCCAGTTTTAACTGAACGCAACAGTTGTTTCTATGACACTCGGAACCTTTGAAGCGCAGCCGTATTTTAGGATAATACTTCTCCAAATACAGAAGTTGCTTGCTGTTGAAAGCTCCACTCCGCTTTTGTCTTAGGCATTGTACTACGTCTTCACACTTCATTCCTTCAGTTAGCGCTAGGGCAACAAGTACAAGAGCTACCGTGAGGCCTGCAACACAATGAACAGCAATACAACAACCAGGTTCTTCACCACACTTAATTTTTTTTTTTTTTTTTTTTTTTTTGAGACGGAGTTTCACTCCTGTTACCCAGGCTGGAGTGCAATGGCGCGATCTCGGCTCACCGCAACCTCCGCCTCCTGGGTTCAGGCAATTCTCCTGCCTCAGCCTCATATAATCCCAGTAGCTGGGATTACAGGCATGCGCCACCATGCCCAACTGATATTTTGTATTTTTAGTAGAGACGGGGTTTCACCATGTTGACCAGGATGGTCTCGATCTCTTGACCTCATGATCCACGCACCTCGGCCTCCCAAAGTGCTGGGATTACAGGTGTGAGCCACTGCGCCCGGCCCAAACTTAATTTTTACAAGACGTCACCAGTCATCAACAATCTGGTGGTACACTATCATCAAAAGGCCAATCAAGAACACGGATACCTTCTTTCTCCACAAGAGTAGTGTCTTAAGCTGCTTCACATACTCTTACTATTGTGGTAACTCCATACTTCTTACGTTCCTTTATAAATTTAAGGTCACGTTGGTTGGATTGTGTGTAATAAGAAATCTCATGTTCTTGTATGTGGCTTCCACAGGGGTTGGGCTGTTCATTCGAGCCATGTTAATTTAGTTAAAAAATACTCAATAGGGGCCGGGCGCGGTGGCTCATGCCTGTAATCCCAGCACTTTGGGAGGCCGAGGCGGGTGGATCATGAGGTCAAGAGATTGAGACCATCCTGGTCAACATGGTGAAACCCCGTCTCTACTAAAAATACAAAAAATTAGCTAGGCATGGTGGTGCATGCCTGTAATCCCAGCTCCTCAGGAGGCTGAGGCAGGAGAATTGCCTGAACCCAGGAGGCGGAGGTTGCGGTGAGCTGAGATCGTGCCATTGCACTCCAGCCTGGGTGACAAGAGCGAAACTCCGTCTCAAAAAAAAAAAAAAATACTCAACAGGGTTATGAAATGATTTTAAAAATTGAATATGGAAATGATGCAGAGAAACTGAAGTCTACTTCCATATACTCCACTTGAAATTCTCAGTGCTTTGAGTATGAAATTGTAAGTAATGATAAATGAAATGACCCTCCTAACAAGAAGCAGCAATTCTTCAATCCAGTAATACTGAGGCAACAGAAAAGAAGTGCACTGAGGTTTACCCCATCCAGGTCAGAACTCTTGTAACATGCTCTGTGGATTTCAATTAAACACTTCTGTGCCCAGGATAACCACTCTTATGGGGGCCTCTTGGTGGAGTAGCAATCAATTTCTACAGTTCACTTGTGTGCATAGAGGTCATGCTGTGCCTGGCAGTAATCTCCACTGTCCTTCAGAAACTCCATAAATGTGTGACCAAGAACACCACAGAATTGGGGAGTATGTTTACTCATTGAGGATTGTGGCCTAATCATACAGCTGGTCCTGAGGCGATGGCAATGCAGGCGGCGGGGACGGCGATGTAGACAGCGGCGGGAGCACCAGACCGATTTCTTATTTGTGAAGATTTCTAGTGAATTTTTGTGGGTTCTCCAGGCAAACATCATAGTGTCACCAAGGGTTACACTTCTCATTTTTTCTTCCTGTCTACTTGACTTTAATAATGCTTCCAAAATAATAATAAAGTTAGAAATAGTGATAGTTGAAGGCCTTGTCTTATTTAAGAATTTAAGGCCACGTGCGGTGGCTCACGCCTGTAATCCCAGCACTTTGGGAGGCCGAGGCGGGTGGATCACGAGGTCCAGAGATCAAGACCATCTTGGTCAACATGGTGAAACCCCTTCTCTACTAAAAATACAAAAATTAGCAGAGCATGGTGGCGCGAGCCTGTAGCCCCAGCCACTCGGGAGGCTGAGGCAGGAGAATTGCTTGAACCCAGGAGGCGGAGGTTGTGGTGAGCTGAGATCGCGCCATTGCACTCCAGCCTGGGTAACAAGAGCGAAACTCCGTCTCAAAACAAAACAAAAAAGAATTTAACAGAGAATATATATTTATGTTTCTTGTTTTATATATATGTAATATTGTATGTATATTCATATGTAATATTGTCAAGAAAGTATTTATTCCTATGATGTTAAGAGCGTTTGACTTTTTTATTTTTGAGACAGAGTCTCACTCTGTTGTCCAAGCTGGAGTGCAGTGGTGCAATCTTGGCTCACTGGAATCACCGCCTCCCAGGTTCAAGAGATTCTCCTGCCTCAGCCTCCCAAATAGCTGGGATTACAGGTGCCCATCACCAGGCCCAGTTAATTTTTATATTTTTAGTAGAGACGAAGCTTCACCATGATGGCCAAACTGGCTTTGAACTCCTGACTTCAAGTAATCCGCCCATCTCGGCCTCCCAAAGTGTGGGATTACAGGCATCAGCCTCCCAAAGTGCTGGGATTACAGGCATGAGTGAAGCCTTATTTTGAAAAATAAAATTCAGGAGCTGCAGTGGCTCCGGCTAGTTGTCCTGGCACTTGAGGAGGCGAGGCTATGAGTTCAAGGCCAACCTGAGCAACATAAGAAGCTCTCATCGATTAACAAAAAAAAAAAAAAGAAAGAAAGAAAGAAAAGAAAAAGAAAATTAAGATATAAGTCCTTGCATTTTAGACTCATTGGCCAGATGGGAGATAATCCAAGCAGTATGGAGGAGAGGGAAGTAAGAAAAGGAAATCTTATCTTAGAGAGTAGTGTGATTATTAAGTTGGTAAAAGGGGAACATTTTCAGAATGAAGCATATTGCAATGAAACACATTTTTCTTTGCATGCAAATGGGATCCATTTCTGTATTTCCCAGGTAATTATCAAACAGAGTTGCTGCTCATAATTGGGGGCGGAGCTCAACATGGTATATTTTGAAATGACCTCCTATTCTGCCACATGCTTGCACTGCTCAGCTCTTCCTGGAAAGAAACACATTTTTAAAAAGTGATGTTTCCATTCATGTTTGCTTTCTTGTCAGCATCTTTCAAGTCTGTAGATCCTTTTGTAAAACCTCCTTTCTGATGTGAAAAATAATGAAACTCCTGATTTGGAGTTAACGAAGCAGAATGTAGAAAACATAGAGGAAAAAGTAGTGTTTTTGTTTCCAGGGAAGGTTAATGTAGGCACAATAATGCTGACTGAAGACCAAGGCATGTTTTGATGGTTTTAATTGCAGAATCCGTTTCTACTGTGATTTCTTTAGTATTTGCAAAGAGGCTGACCTCATGATAACCAACCATCCCTGGGTCAGGTGTGCTTTGGAGCTCAAAAGCCTGACATGGGCTTCTATGTTAGTTTCTGCTTCCTGGAGTGAGCTTCTAATGGAATTGAAACAAACAGCAGCAGCAAAGAATGAATGACTGAACAAGGCTGAGCGACTCTGCACAGGTGAAAATGATGGCAGAGGAAGACCCAAGAGAATTAGAGTTGATAAGGATCCCACACGCTTTACTGTAGTAGCACAGGCTTTCCAGGGAGTTCAAAGGATGTTACAGTACGGTCTGATTACCTCTCCCAGAGACTCTGGACTCTGGGTAATAAGTAGAAAGGAAGCTCTCATCTTTGGTAGTTAAGTGCTGGAAGTGGAACAATGAGAGCCCTGTTCTTCTAGCTTTCCCCAGACACTGTACAATGGAAACCCCAGTCTTCTCTGGATCCTCTCTCCAGGTGAGGTGACACTGGCCAGGACTCCTTTTGCCCTCCTCTTAGTTGAGTCAGCTTCAGTTTCCCCCTTGTGTTGGAGAAAGTGAATCCCACACTCTTTTTAATCACAGTCAACAATACTGGCTTTGTGAATTCAGCTGTCCCTCCAGTGCCTGCTCTTGACGAAGGGTGAAAAGTGATAACATAGAAACTGGACTCATTGAGCTGGGCTTGGCTACAAATCAATGACCCAGGCAAACAAGTCTTATCAACTTTCATTAGATCAGTTCTAATCCCTGAACTGTGTAATTCTTCCCAAGCTACAGTCCTTCCTAGATCTCAAGATGCAAAGACACATTGAAAAGTAACCTGCAGGTGTCTGGGTGGGGGATTTGAGGAGGAATGTGTCACTGACAGATGCAGGTTTGGGTGACTGTTAAGAGTGACATCCATTAGATAATCTTAAAAGTTCAGAGGGAATCACACATATTTCCGAGTCATTAAAAAATTAAGATATATGAATATATGTTTCATAAGTGAACTGGGAGAAAACTGAAAGGAAGGGGAAAATTTCCCAGAAGTTGAATTTTTGAAGAGAGATGTATTTAATATTTAGCTGCTAATTACTGTTGTCATGATTATAGTTGTATCAGAACAGTGTCTTACATCTTGAGGTAAGGTTCTTGGGTATTGTGGCTGCCTGGATTATGCCTCTGAATCTAAAACTTTTGAGGGTAATTCATTCCACAGAAGAGACAAAAGAAATTCCCCTCAGGATCTTTAGAGCAGCTATCTCAAACTTGAGTGTAAAATAAGGTTCCCCTGGAAACCTAGATTGATTTCCATTTAATTAGATGATATGAAGGAGTGAGGCTGGAGGAACTGAAGGGGTGAGAACAAAAAGAATAGGTTATAGTAATAGTAGAATCACTGAAAGATAATGCAATCTGGGATCATTTGTGTGGTGGCGAAGAATAACACACATTTCCGAGTCATTAAAAAATTAAGATCTAGAAGTATATGTTTCATAAGCCAAGGAATTATACCAGTGGCAAAGCTTCTGTCCAAACAGGTTTTAATTAATTTAAAAAAGCCATTCAGCCAACACAATGTTGAAGGAAAAGAACCAAGTTAGAGGTCTGACACTGTCTAACCTCAAGACTTGATATAAAGCTATAGCAATCAAGACAGTGAGGTATCGGTGAAAGAACAGACACATAGATCAATGGACTAGACTAGAGAGCCCAGAAATAGACCCACACAGAAATACACAACTGATCTTTGACAAAGCAACAAAGGCAATACAGTAGAAAAAGAATAGTCTTTTCAACAATTGACACCAGAAAAACTGGGCATCCACATGCAAAACATTGAACTTTGACATAACCTCATACCCTCATCAAAACTAATCAAAATGGATCACAGACCTCAGTGTAAAGTGCAAAGCTATAAAACTCTTAGAATATACCATAGGAGAAAGTCTAGATGAACTTGGGTTTGGTGATGACTTTATTATTTAAAAAAATTTTTTTAATTCCTTTTGGGGAGACCTAGGAACTAGCATGCAGCAGCTCAGTACAGAAGCACAACACCCCTCACTGACTTTTTTTTTTTTTTTTTTTTTTTGAGACTGTCTTGCTCTGTCGCCAGGCTGGAGTGCAGTGGCATGATCTTGACTCACTGCCGTCTCCACCTCCCGGATTCAAGTGATTCCCCTGCCTCAGCCTCCTGAGTAGCTGGGACTACAGGCATGTACCACCATGCCTGGCTAATTTTTTGTATTTTAGTAGAGACAGGGTTTCACCATCTTGGCCAGGATGGTCTCAATCTCCTCATGTCATGATCCACCTGCCTCGACTTCCCAAAGTGCTGGGATTACAGGCATGAACCACCACACCAGGTCTAGTCTTGTTGAAAAGAGTATGACTTTTTAGAGAAAATACTAAAGGCACTATTCATAAAAAGGTAGATAAACTAAACGTTATTAAAATGAAAACCTTCTGCTTGGTAAA